TGTAGCGCATGCCTGTGATTCCGGCTACTTGAAGGTGAGGCGGAAGGATCACCGGAGCCCAGCAGGTCGAGGCTGCGGTGGCCAGGAGCGGCCACTGCACTCCAGTCTGGGTGACAGAGTGAGACTCCAACTCAAAAAAAAAAAAAAAAAAAGAATATGGAAATTTTTGCAGTGTTGCTTATGAACATGCCCTTACAATATATCTTAGTCCAGGAGTTAGGCTCCCTAAAGGGTTCTCCAGACCGGTTTTTATTTCACAGGACATAGATATGTTATTTGAATAGAACCATCTAGAAATGCACTAACACCAAAGCCACATAGGACTGTTTTAATTTAAATTAAAAAAACTTCTTTTTGAGTCAAAGTCTTACCCTGCTGCCCAGGTGGAGTGCAGTGGCACAATCACAGCTACTGCAGCCTTGACCTCCGCACTTGTCTAATATTTATTTATTTATTTATTTATTTATTTATTTATTTATTTATTTATTTATGTAAGACGAAGTCTTGCCATGTTGTCCAGGCTGGTCTCAAACTCCTGGGCTTAGACAATTCTCTTACCTTGGCCTCCTTAAGTGCTGGATTTACAGACATGAGCCACCACCTTTGGCCATAAATTTAAAAGATTTAAGTTAAATAAAATATGAGATTCATTTCCTCAATCAAACCAGACACATTTCAAGTACTCAGTCGACACATGTGACCAGTGGCTACTATATTGGACAATGCAGATGATAGATTTCTATTGTTGTAAAACATTCTACAGGACAGGGCTTATCTAGAGATAGTTACTTGGAAATGACCTTGATGTGTCAAGGATGGGCTCTTTTACACAAACACACAATCTGTGTCTTATTTGTGTACTCAGGCAGTTTCTATTTAGGAATCCTGCAACCCCCAAGGCAGCTCTCAACTGAAAATGGTGTTTTGCTGATGTGGTGCATTCTTCTCTCACTTCTGCAATGCCGAGAGCCACGGCAGGCTCAGGGGGGTGGGGTGAGAAGAGTCAATCACAGCAGAACATCATGGTCAAGGTTGTTTTTTAGAAAGGTAGATGCAGCTTTCTGCTAATGAATGGCTGATGAGGCTGCAAATCTATTTAAACAAAACCCACCAAAACCCTGCACCATAAATTTCTAGCTAGGGAAACAACACCTGCCCATCTCTCCCAGGGTCTTTGACCTTGGTTGATCAGTCAGATTTCAAGACTGCTCCATGAAGTCAAAGATCTTCTGTAGTTTACTGAGGATAAGACGCAAGTGGTAATGTCAATACCTCAAAGATAACTAGAAGAGCTTGAATAGAAGTACTTTTTTTGCTTGGTGTGGCCCTGGCCTTGGAAAAATGGTTAGGAGCATTAAAATTTGGTTGCATGTTTCTAAGAGTTTGAGGACCTAAAAGGTCAATAGATACAGAGAGCAAATGAGATGCTGTGCCAACCTACAAGCCCTGCCACTTACATGCTTGTGATGTCTTTGGGGGAAAACACTTCACCATGTGTAAAGATGGAGGGGATAGTCCTCCCTGTTGGACAGATGAAAACTTGAAGAATTCAGAGATGAGAAAGTTAGGTGAGAACAGGACAGGAAGCAAGGATTTGGGAAAAGGTAGAATAGGATAAGATATTGAGAAATGGGTGGTCCAGTAGGGCTGGAGTCGTGCCCATAGGCCTGAGGAGTGGTACCATTCATTGAACCTACTGGCAGGGAGCGATTGATGTTGACTGCTGCTGTAGCCAAACCGTGGAAACCTGGTGGGGAAGGAGTCAGTGTCAAGACATCAGTCACCCACTCTATCTTCGCAGTCTCCTGCTTGTGCCTCCTCTTGATCAATCATACCTAACCAGAACCCTGAGGTCCCAGGAGCGCATTGATGTGGTTCATATGGGTCAGTGTCCTATGAGAAGGTGAAAATGAATGAGGAAGAGCAAGCAGAATATTTAGGAACCAGAACTGATGAATGGAGAATGTGTTTGTAAAGTCAGAAGGAAAGACATTTGCCTCATAGCATTCTACTGCTTTTTTTCTTTGAGAATGAAGCCATTTACTGAGAGAAGTATAGGGGCCAAGGGCTTAGCCTTCTGAAGTTTCTTGAAAATCACTGACAAGATGCAGATTAATAGGAAAAAATGCATACAAGTTTACTTAACGTGCATACATAGGGGTCTTCAGAATGAAGACTGAATGGTACAGGGGAAATTGTATATTTTTATTCTTAGACTTAACAAAGTGTAGATAGCTTTGCAGAAACATGAGTGGATAAGAAGGCTATGATCCAACGTCAATGGACTGAGTGGGAAAACTCAGCAAGGCCTGTCTATCTAGACTCTTCTTGACCTCTCTGAACATGCATTACTTCTTTCTGAGTGTGGGGCTTCTATCTGGGTCTCTGGAATGGATGTTTTATGATCTATAGTTGAACAAGGTGGGTCAGAT